CGCAGTTTGCGTTTAATTCTCCTTTTTTTTTTTTTTTCTCCATTTCTAAATAATGAAATCTCGGAAAAGAAAACTCTGACACACCCCAGGCGTTCAATAACAAGGGAGAGACTGGTCATCGTGTGTATAAAGAACTTTAAACTCTCTTCTTGTTTTCTTATTTACTCATAACTACTTTATAACTTAAGGCTTGTCTACTGACCAGTCTTTATTCTCTTGAGTGTGTCTGCACACATCCAGCAGCACCAACAGCCTACCTGACTCCCATAACCTTATTAATGTTTCCACAGAAATGAGATTTACTGATATTTTTAGCCAAGGACTCTCTGCGATAACGTGTTTAAAAAATCGTCTTGAAACAAATGGAACACAGTTACATATTAAGTTCCAAGCTAAGCTGTTTTCAGTCACAAGTAATGCTTCCCTTGCCACTGAAGTAAAATGAATTCACTTCCTAAACTTCCTACTATACACAATAGCCATGGGCAGGCCGGACGACAGTCCGCAAAGATGTCCTAACTACACTCCAGAGCAGAGATGCACTATAAATGAAAACTCAGCTCTGTGGTCAACAGATCTAAGCAAGTTAGGACAAGTAAAAAGACACATTTGTTCAACAATCTCATGCTGCACATCGTCATCATGAGATTTCCAGTTTTCAGGGAAAGACGTGAAGCTTTACAGAGGGAAAATAATCGACATTTGTTCTGTATGTTAGCTGGGACTCAGTGTAACCGGGTATTGGCCACATGTGCTGAGGTCTAGCTGCTTCCTCTTTGAGACTGCAGCTACAGTCCTGTGACACTGACACAGTTTTTCTTTTAAATGCAGAGGCCTTTGGAGCAAACTGGCCGGCCAGCAGCCACATTTCCACAGAGGGCTCTCAGGAGGAGGGAAAAGGCCGAGCAAAAGAGAATATAGAAAGGAGAGAGCAGCTGAAGCAGCCTGCATGGTAGCATATGAACCAGGGAGGTTTTGAAAAGCTGTAGTTTCAACACAATTAAGGTTTTCGGTCATACCATGCCTATAGTTCAAACTTCTTTTGTAACATAAGAGTGACAAGAGATCTCACTGGATCAGGGTCCCTAAAAGTTTCAGTAAATTATTTTTCAAAGCTTTCATACCTTTTTAAGTTTTTTAAAAACACATGTACTACCACATTTAATGGCTTTAAAAACTACATTTAACTTATACATTTGAGCACGTTCCCTACAACTATAAACTTATTTGTGGAGAAAACAATCTATTCATGCATTTTTTTAGCATATTTAAAATAGTCGAATAATAATGCCTCATGTGAGGTTAATGTACTTATGGCAGCTCTACAATGGTCATATTTGACACACTATTGGACGGCGTTTGCAAAGCAACCAATCCAGGAGTGAAATTAATTTCCTTGCTGCTGATTGGTTGTACCCAAGACCAAAACAAACACTGTGCTTGTTAGTTTCAACAATTTCCACTGTGCATATCAGGTAAATTTGATGTTAGTAATAAAAACAAAACAGAAAGTTCTAAACATTTTTATCTTTTTTATGTTAGTTCATATTTCACCAAAATTAAATTAATAAATAAGTGCTAAATCACACACACAGAAAAACAGCTGGAACAGGAAAAATTGTAAATTCACGTACTATTCTTCAGACTATCTATGTCTGAGATATTTGATGACATTAGCTGTTGAATGCAACTTGCAAGATTTTTCAAATGTAAAGAGGTTAAATAAGAATCCACAAAGTTTGAAAATGCTAAGACTAACTTTTTTTCCAAAAACAGAAAACTTTGTTGTGGAAATGGGGACAATGAACAGAATTTTTTTTTCACTGGCTGGGTAGACTACACACTATCTATTGAACTTGAAGCAGATGTGTGAGTTGTATTCAAACTCTCTGACATGAATACAACTCTGAACACGATATGCAAACAGCTAGCTTTAATGACTGGCTTTTTTTTCTTTTTTTTTTTAACACATGCTTTTATTATTTGCACTAAATTTCCAACAATGTGAACGAAACTAAATGAAAAAGCAAAAAAGACATCATTACAGTTGAATAATAAATTATTGTAATTAATTACCAAAGTAGTTTGTTTTGATTTATTTTGGAAAATGTGATGATGGCCACAAAAAAGACAAAAAACTGAACACAATATATGTAGGCCATTAACATCTGCCCCACGAAAACAAAGCCACTACATTGGAGGAGGGGGTCCGACATCGGGACACATTCTGAGATTTAGTTCGTTCGTATTGAACGAACTAATACGATTTCCCCTCGTATTGCACATTGAAAGCACGCAGACTGAAGACGAGCTATCTGCCTCCGAAAACATAAACAAAGCGATCAACGTGAAACGACCTTCATTGATGCACGTCTCGTCTCGGCGAGCCTCCGAGCGCCTTCTGAAGGATGCAACTCGGGAAAACAGTGGTTGGAGATTGTGATATTCATCAGAATAATAACAATAAAAAAAAGACAGAAAATTAATGTGTTTTTTTAAGAGATGGGGAAGGGGGGAGACTGGGTCGCTTAACAAAGGTGGAGCAGGGAGCCATCCTGCCAGTTAGCCGACAGGGAGTCAGACCAGCAGCGTGTTTAAAGGATATTTTCCAAGCTTCCTAATTATGTCCGAGCACCCGTTTCCGTAAAGCTTTAAAATAAGTAAGTTTACAGCGTGACAACTCCGGGAATTTTCAATTGACACTGAGAATCCTCTGAAATCAGGAGATGTGCAGAAGAAAAGCTGAAAATCGACTCTTTCTCCCTTTTTTTTTTTTCTCGCGGTCGTAAACTCCACGTGAGCAACGGTAAACTTTACAGCTGAAAGCCATTTTAAAGCTGTTTAATGTACTGTTTTCTGAGTAAAAGTCAAGTCTACGCTTCACTTACCCTTTTCTTTTAGCTGCGAGTCGCTGTTGAAGGTGTGTGTGGAGCCCAGCCCTGGGAGCGCTGGCCTTCTCTTCCTCCGTTGCTCAGCAATAAGCTACTCCCCTGAAAATAACGGCGGGCGCGTCGAAATGCGGGAGAGACTAAATACTGTTTCCGGTCACTACTTTCAAAATAAAACCTAAAAGGAAATAAAATGCGGAGAATTATTCCTGCGCACAATGACCCTCTTTCTCTTACCTGTTTTTTCTTTTAATCTGGTGCTGCCATAGCACCCAGCATTTAGAAAATACAATTTTATTCATTTCACAAGTAGGAGAAAGGTTTCATAAAGCTCAACTGACTTTTAAAGAGTTTATTTTGTGTATAATCTACTTTGGGTTTAATTTGAGTAAGTATTTTATATTTTGAGGCATAGATAGTCAGATGGAGCCCACACTCTTGAAAAAAAAATTTAAAGCTGAATTGGAACTTGTAAACAGGATACCAACTTCAGTCTGATTTATCCAGCACTATAGTCCTTACACTGTCCACAAAAAGATGATCGGGGGACTCCATCTTCATTGAATAAACATGCAAATAAGCAACAGAAAAGTTGATTAAGGATTTTTAACATTTCGTCATTCTAATGAAATCGGTATCTAAAAAAATACATCTATGTAAGGTATAAAAAGTTGAGCTCCTGGTGTTAAGAATTAAGTGAAAGAAGGATTATGACTGATGAGTTGTGCAGAATTTAGTGAACAGATGGTAATGCAGCTGACGTCGCTGTTTGTGCAGGCTGACAAGGAGGATTACAGCATGAGAGCGTCCCTCGATTTATCACGCGTACTCCTCCTTTTATTTTGAAATCCACCCTCGCCATTTCCCGGTGTGCATTCGTCAATATTCAGCTTGATGCAGTTCATCCTCAGCAGCAGCAGCGGCGTCTGCGTCTAACACCGTGGATGCTTCCAACTCAACCAGAAGCAATGTCCGCCAGAAACCGGGTGGGCGGGTTTCCTGGCAGCTCTGCTCACTTTCAGCGGTCTTTTGTTGCTGCAGCACCACCTTGGCGGCACAGCTGGCAGGATCTGTGCAGCATTCTTGATCGTGCCACACAATCTGTGCCTTTTAGTAGGGGTGTAGAGGAGCCCTGCTGCACATGAAGGGACAAGACCAGCTTGCATGACAAAGAAAATATCATCGTATCCGCAAGGAAGTGGGAGTTTATTATTGATTTGTGTTAGCACACAAATAAACCGTGACAATTTATAAACATATCTTAAAATGCATTTTGTTGTTGTCGTTGTTTTTAAACATTACACAGATGAACCACGCATACAATATAAATTCAGCAAAAAAGAAATTAACACGTACATTTTAAAATACAAATTGAATTTTTACGGTTTATTAATTTTCGTCAAAAAAGGACAGGCAGAACTGTGTTTTTTTTTTAAACTAAATTTAGAATGATGTTTTTTTCACATTTTAGTGTAACGTACCTAAAATAAATAAATAAATTAATTAATTAATAATAAGAATAATTGGCTGCAGAACTGGGTAGGCACCCAGGAATATAAAAAATTTTGTTTTTCCATTTTCTCTCTTTTAAAAACATGGAAATAAAAAATGAGATCAAAGCAAACTAGTAAATAAAACCTACACCATAAAATAAACATAATCTACAATTCCACAATGTTTCCCTTTCTTCTCAGTTAATACACTTACTAAGAAAACATTTGCGTTTCTTGCTTTGCCATTTTATTTCGTCAACGTGGAATTCCCACAATGATAAAATCGTTTTTAAAAAGTTCAAAAATCTGTTGTTTTTGTCAGATGCTCTGACGTCACGACGTTTCTTCTCTGTCGACGCAAGGGTGTTAAGTTTCCCCACGGGCACAAGCCGTAGGAAAAGTTGACATGTTTTTAATTTGAGTTTTATTTTAAACCTGAAACAACGTTCAAATAATTCTCTCTATATATATTTTTTACAAAATATTTTAAACTCTTTAGATTAATCTCAGAGATTAACCTTTTGCAATTTTACACCACGACTTTTTGTTGTGTTTAGTCCGGTAGATCAGGTGGCATAAATCGAGCTAACCCACGTCCGTTGGAAAGGGGAGTTAGGAATCTAAGAAGGAATGTGTATTCGCGTTTTGAGTGGCGAATAGACAGAAAACATGGAGGACACGCGGGATGTTCAAACGTCCAAACGGCACGGCAACCACAAACCGGTATTATCCGCTGGTTGTTCTGCCATGGCCATGGAGGTTAAGCGAAAGAAAATACGCGAACGCTCTTTCTTCCTGCAGAAAGAGGTGAGTTTGAAGAGACGGCTTTGTTTTGTGTGTCGTCAGGGTGAGAATGACATTGACAAGTCCGGAGGGGGCGCAAAGTCCAAACAATGCGAGCAAAACGGAGCCGACATATGCGGATTTCATTGCATTATTCTAATAATATCCCCTTTCACCAGAATGTTTAACTTTACACAACATCGCTCTTTGTTTCTCGAGCTTTGTTCTTGAAGGAAGCATCGGCCTCCACAGATACTCTGCATTGCGTCTACTTTGTCTTCGTTTCTCTGTAACCCGGTTCGAACTGGTCTGATTCTAGGCTAAATGCACGAAACGACGCCCAAGTCCTCTGAAAGACACCCTGCAAATAGTCGACGACGTTCATTTGTTGCACTTGCGACAGGTTTCCAAGAAGCCACAGGTGCAAATTTTCACTTCCTGCGTGGAAAAATGATGATTTCTGGGCTGCTGAAAAACAATATCTGATTTGTTTATTTATATCTTCATCATGATTAATAAGCACTCTGTCACAAAAGAAGTGCATCAAACTAAAACAAAATATAAGTTTTTTTGAGTTTTTCCCTGAGAGATCATCAGGACTCCATTGTTGGTAGAAGAACTAACTTTTCATCACTATCTCTAATAATTCCATATGTAGTTTGTATGCTCATTTTTTAGAAACCAGCTAATTCTTCCTGCATGCACCTTTGGTAGATTCAGTTGCTCTTTATTAAGAGATGTTTGCTTTGAGTGCCACTTTCCTTTTCTCTTTTGGAACCACTGAAGAGCTGCCAGATAACCGATATCAAATCCATTTTTCTTAACTAGATGAAGTCTTTGGTAGGTCCAAGAAAACTTATGTCATGTTGTCTTAATTTACATCCTCTTACATTTGTGTTTTTGTTGAAGTTCTTGCTACTTTCCGTGGAATCGCTCCAAAGACCTGAAGAAGCATCGGTTGTCGATATCGATCCAAAAGCGATTAACGTCAACTGATTCTGTTATTTATGCAGAAATATTGTGCAACCCTAAATAAAAGGATCGGGTGGAAAAAAATGGGTAGTTTTATTTAAAATTGGCTAAAAAATGATGATTTCTTCAGATTTCTAAGATTTGTATTGTTTTAACAGTCTAATCATTGTGGCTGAGACAACCAAAGCCATAAAGAAAGATTGTATTCTGTTGATGTCATTTCTTGTCTAAATCCGAGAGCTTTTTTTATTTTTATTTTATTTTTTTTTCTACAAAAAGATTAACATGTCATATGAGCTTTACTGTATGTGGGTTGTTAAAGTCTTTAACAAAGCCTGGGTCATTCATAGTGTTACAACCTCATTGTGCATGTCTTAAATGTAATTCATTCTGTCCATTAAGAGTGCAAACTTAGAAGAAAAGGTTCAGTTTGAGACGAGAATGCGCGAGGGGGCGTACAAGCTGCTGCTGGCTTGCAGTAAAAGGGAACAAGTCCTCAACGCTTCCAAGAACCTGCTGACCTGCAGCGCCAGGATCAAGGCCTACCTCGCCCAGCTGCAGCGGGAAGAAGGGGAGCGGGATGTCATGGGAGCGGAAAGAAGGTAGAGAGTTTGGCGAAAGCTATGGCATCACCTTAAAGATGTGTAAAAACATAAGCTTCCACTACAGATCATTAGGAAACACAGATCTTAACTTTGACGAAGCAAATTCTGGAGGAAGATGGTGATTAACGGCAAAAATAGATGTGGCGTTTTCAGAAAAGAAGGTGCTGATTTACGTGCTGTCTCTGCTTCACAGACTCGCAGAGGGTCGTTCACCATGTCTTGGCACGGTTGCAGTTACTGGTAAGACTATTTTTCGTAAACATTTGTGGCGTAAAAGAATATTTGTCCTGCCGGATCTTCAATTTTTACTGTTTGTTTTACATTTTCATGTTAGCTGAGAGCTCTTCATAGTAAACTTCCACTTTTTTCCCTTTCTCTTTTATGCAGGCCTGCGTTTTCCTTTGATTTGGAGGGATTCAGACCATTTTAGTAGTAGAGGAAGTAAGTTCGCCCACTTACACCACGAGGCTAAGTTTGTTTAACCTCTTTTCGTTTTGTCTGTTCTTGGATACTTTCTGTACTAATACATGCTGCACCTCCTGTGTGTCGGGCAGGCTCCCGTCAGGTGGCGGTGTTCTGCCTGATGCAGATTGGCTCTGAGGTGTTTGACACCGAAATGGTCGTGGTGGACAGATCTGTCACCGACATCTGCTTTGACGGACTCACTCTCTTGTAAATATGTTTTGGATAGTTTAATTTTTCCATTCACACACTCGGAAAACAAACACTTATTTGCTTTTGTTTTAAACGATGTTCATGGAAACTGAATTTCAAAATATTACACAATATTTTTTCTTTTTTTTTTCATTTCCAGATACAAATTTTGCATTTTTTAAAAAATATATTCACTGACATGCCATTTGACGTCATTACTAACCACGCTATTTTTAATCATTCTCCAGTGTTTGTTGTGTGCATCTACACGCTTGATATATTTTCATTTGACTGAGATTTTTTTTTTCATAGCAAAGATGTAGTTCCCCAGTTTGAACTGAAGGTGGAGCTGTGGAGCTGTTCCATGGAGGAAGAGCTCACTTTACCAAACACACCAAAGAAACTTGCAAAGAAGCTGCGTAACTCCTTTGGAAGGAGCTCTGGAAAGAAGCTCTGCTCCCTGCTGGACACTCCAGATCCAGACACCTTCCTGCTGGACAACCCAATACCTTTGTATGTGCTTGTATTATCTAAAAAATCCTGCACCGTCTCTTGGGGTTTCTCATTTAGATAAATATATATATATATATATATATATATATATATATATATATATATATATATATATATATATATATATATATATATATATATATTTTACTGTTTTGACTCTGGAGCTCTGTTACAAATCTGAATGTTTTGTATGGGATTTTTCCAACAGATCACTCCAAATATCAAAATAAGGCTTCAATAAATATGTGTGGTGGTCTATATTTAACCTTCAGATATTCATAGACTGCTTTATGGCAATAAATGGGATCAACTGTTTTGTACTTAAATGTTCCTACATTAATCTTGTGTTGAGCTGAGAGTGAAAAGTTAACTAAAATTTGTTTATAGAGCTCGACTGGTAGGATAAAGTGTTTTTCTTTTAAAAGAATCAGTCAGTACGTTTGAAGAGTGCTCCATATTTGTGTCTGCCCTCAACCAGGGGAGCCAAATACAGCCTGCTGGCCTGCACAACACTCGGTCTGCCTGATGCTGATAGCTGCTTTCAGTCTCACTCCCTCATTGTCTACCAAGGCGGTAAGAAGCAAAGACACACACTTTATTTATGGGCTGTGAAGAGTTTGCTTTCTCCAGGTCATGAATTGAATAAATGTCGCAATAATGATAGATTATTCATTCATCATTTTAGTGACACGAGCAGAACTGAACGCTAAATGTACAAGTCAGAACATGTAGTTGAGGTTTTTTTTTTCTTTTGAGTTGTGACGTTAGAGCTTAGGATCTTTCTTTATCTTGCTTCAATTCAAGTCAGTTGAATTCAAATGACTTTACTTATCCCCAAGGGGCGATTTCAAGGCACGCCAGTTATTACAGATACACTCAAGAGTGATGGCTCAGACAACAATTAATCAAATTAACACATCGCACTAATGCATATAAATGTAGAAAGTAAAATGTTATTTTTCTATGCAAGTTTATTTTTTTTAAATTATGACTTTTCACAAATTTCAAATCCAAAATACACAGATTCGTCGGATGACATTGGAGGGAAAAAGAGGAAAAGGAAAAAAAAACCCTGTAATAACTCTTGGGAATGACTTGTTTGATTCGTTGGAACAACGTTCCCGTGATGAAATGTACAAGACTCGAAAAAGTATTAAAACACTTGAAAATGTGGTCCTTTCACTGCTGCAGACATTGAAATACATTGAAAATGTATTTACCTGACCGACCCAACACTGAGTTGGGCAGTCAAAATTAAAATGGTGCATGGATGTTACACTTTTCAGATGGTTGAAAAAGTAAACTTATTTAAAACCACATGTCTTTGGATCCTTGTACGCTTTTACTGTGCGATAAATCCAGTCTAAACAGTTGCCTCCAAAAGTCACCTGATCAGTACAATTTTCTGAGCATAATATAATGTTCTTATGAATTGAGATGTTTGTTAGAGAATACTATCGAGCAAACTGAAGAAGAGCCATACACACCAAAGGCTTACTGAGACCTCCATCCAGTTTGATGAGCTCTGCAAAGACAAGAATTTTCAGTCTGTAGAGACGTGCTGTCCACGTCTCTACAGATAACCGATATCGATAAAAAAACAAACAAAAAAAAACAGTTTTAATGGTAATACGTCGTTTTATAAAATATTGACTACAATGCACCTCAGCTTTATCTGAAATAAATTTAGTAAACCTTGCAGCACTTTCATTCCACTTGATAAATATGCTCAAGTGGAGCAAGTTGTCAGATTAAATTTTAATGATGCAAAGTTAAATTTCTGTCTGTAGCTTCATAAAATCTGAAAAAGTCCCCTTTCTTTGGATACTTTTTTTTTAAATATTAGGAATGTTTGAATTCTTAATATTATATGAGACAGCATTACAGGAACAGATCATATGATATTGTAGTAATTATAATGAGATCTAATTTGTGATGTTATTTTGATTCTGTAAGTTTTGACCAACAGTTCTGAACTTTAATATTTTCTTGTGTTTCTCTTCTCTATGTTTTCTTTTTTTTTTTTCTTCATCCTAACAGCCGAGTGGTCATCCTGGCTCCCTCTGTACGGCAACCTGTGCTGCCGCTTAGTGGCGCAGCCAGCCTGCATGACACAGAGCGTCATGAGCGGCTATCTGAGTCAGAAGGTGCGTTGACGGCTTTCACTGTCACGTCACGTAGTAGGAGTGAGTTCTGGCCTGGATTGTGCAATCATTCTGTTTTTGTTTCTCTGTTAATTTCCAGCAAAGTGTGCAGGGGGTGAACCGCTGCTGCAATCTCTACTGTCTGCTGAGCGCCGGCTTTTTGTCCTGTTACTTCACCCCTGAAGAAATCGATGCGAAAGTGCAGCCCACGCTTAATGTGCCAATCAATAATGTGAGAGAGCGGAATATAAAACAGATACATATATAAGGAGAGAAGATAAAGAATCAATTTTCTTTTCTCCCACTTCTGCTTTTCCCTTAACATTTCTCAACCATGTAAAATGCCTACATTAATTACTCAGATCCTATTAGCATGTTTGCAGTTTTTCCCCTGAGTTAATCTTGGTGTGCAATCCCAGCTTTGTCTTTTACCACTAGAGTAAAAAGCTTACATACACCTCACTTATCAAAGCCATTAATGTCAGATTATATCTGGAGGACATCGATGCGTCTGCACTGTTCCTTTTTATGGTGGAATACAGCAAACGCCTTAAACACATTTTGAAAACGTGTACTGAATGCACAAGTTTGAAGCTCTTTATGTGTTCATACCTCTTTCTAATCACCAGATGGTTAAAATTATACCTGCAGGCTGAAATATAATATAATAATAATAATGACGTGTGCTTTGTGTCAACCACCAGTCTTTTATTGAGCACTTTTGCATACAACTATGGAAACCAGAAAGAATGCAATCATATAGTGAGAAAACAGTAAAAACCTAAATTACAAAAAAAACATATATAATATAAATAAAAAATGTAAAAACGTTATGCCACCCACACCACACTTGACATTTGCTTCAATGTTCTTATGAAAGCCTCATCATGACTCCTCCAAACATACATCGTGTCGTTGTTCCCAAATATTTCAGCTTCTGTCAAGTTTAACCCTGAAAGCTCTTGTCCAGAGACATTTGGCTTCTCTATTTTATTCGCGTGAAAAGGTGGCATTTAGGAGCTGTGGTTTAATTTGTGATTAGCATCTTCTATTCTGTGTCGATGTACAACTTTCTTTATTTTGGACGGAACCGTTGGTGTCAGTTCATCATAGGCTCAAGCCTCGGTGGATCACAGGATTATCTGGACGTCCTGATCAATTTTCTTTTATCTGGTGTGTGACAGGTAGGTGGGCCAGAGCCATCTTAGAAATGGTTGAAGTAAGCTAACATTGGCTTCTGGAACTGCCCCAGCCTCAGCCCTTTTGAAAATGAGTTTACTTTGCATAGAAGTCGTCCTGGAAGACGACCAAGGACCTTAACAAGGAACAAAAAAGATATAGCAGACATGTAATTTACTGAGGTACATCTATCCAGGCATATATTTGATGTATTTTGATCAAAAAATATCTTAGGAAATTTCATCTTGCACCCAACTATTGTGTATGAAAGTTTGTAATGATTCCACAAATCAATCTTTAAAAGACCAAAAATGACTTTCATTCCTGGCGGTGGTGAGTTTATGCAAACTTGTTACCGAATCCTGTAGTGGGATCAAAAATTAAACAGACATTGTTGGGGTTGTTGTAAGTTATGTGTCGTCTCTGCAGGGGACCCGCATTTGTGTGCTGGACAAACAGTCAGGCGATGGCAAATCCAAGAGTTTGTCCATCGTCAACCCTTCACCCGAGGGATCTCAGAGTGTCGTGTTCACAGCAGACACCAGGGAGGAGCTGGAGGACTGGATCGACTGCCTCCACCAGCACCTCTACGACCAGAGTGAGTGAGCTCGTGTGAGCGGAAAAACGTATGGGCTTGTATTTAGATATCAGTGTGTCCGCACAGTTCATTCTGTGTTAAAAACCTCGGCACCGCTGCAATGTAAAATATGCGGTTATCTGTCTTGAATGTCATTGTTACTGGTCTTAAAAAGTGTTAAATATTGTGCTGGTGGAACCCTGAATGAAGTTGGACCGTCTGGACAAGAACAAACTGCAGACAATTGAATGAATAGAAACCGTCATGTCTGCCCTTATTTATGGCCAGGCCAGTGGCTCCACTGCTGCGACCGCCTAATGAAAATTGAGGTCGCATCACCACGGAAACCGTCGCTTTTCCTCGCCAAGCAGGCCGACTCTGTTTACAACGACCTGAGTGAGTACAATCATTTGAATTAGATGCTGAAGTGAGGTGGTGGGAAGCCGATATTTGGCTGCAGCTTTTAGGGATGGTGGGGAGTATTTCATTTAAGATAATACGTGCCATTACTCCACAAAATGTGTTTTATTCCAAAGATGAGGCATGCAAATGAAATCCTTTTACATGCAAATGAGAAAAGCGGAATGTGTGCTTCCATGTCCTTTGAGAGTTATATTGTTTGCACATCAGACATGGAGAGAGAGAGAGAGAGAGAGAGAGAGAGAGAGAGAAAATAAAAGTGTTGTTTCATCTATAAATTTCTTTTGTTAGTTAACTTAATATTTCCTGCAGGTATAAATTCGCCCAACAGGTTTGAGAGCATCACAGACATAATCCACAGTAAAATCGAAGAGACAGATGGCCGCTTCCTGATTGGGCAAGAGGAGGAGAGGGAAGCGCCGAACTGGTCCTCTCTGTTCGATGGGTCCCACTCGGTGGTGGTGGAGAAGAGTCTTCTGTCCCAGAGCAAAACCTCCACCCCCTGTTCAAGCCCCGGCACCGGCTCCACGCCCCTGGGCAACAAAAAGCGCCGCGCTCCGCCCCCTCCTGACGTGAAGCCCTTCGCTAACCCCGCCCGCCCGGACAGACCCCCCCTGCCCGCCTCTCTGCTTCATCGTCCTCTTCCTTTGAGCCAGGAGAAGGAGAACTCCGGCGCTTCCCGCCCAGCCGTCAGGTCCAAAACGGGTCGGCCCTCGCTGGATGCCAAGTTCTCCGCCATCATCCAGCAGCTCCAGCGGAACAACGCCGTGGGCGCGGCGGCTCCAAGCCGGAAGAACGCCCCACTGGCCGTCCTCGACGTGCAGCCGCAGGGTCCGCCTCAGCCTTCGCTCCAGCAGGTTGACATCCGGAACCACAATGTCCAGATGCCTGAGGATGCGGCTGATGATGCGTTTGTCAGAGCCTACAGCGGGAACGGGCCTGGTTCCGGGCCCGTTCCCGCACCACGCAGCAAACTGAGGAAGTCGCTCAGAGAGAGGATGAATCTCAAAGCTTTGTGATCTCAACCCTGTTTTGCCCCAAAATCTTTTCACTTCCAGCCAGATGTTTTACACGCACTCATCAGCATGAATGTTGTATTCAGTGGTTCTTTGACTAAAAATTAATAAAATATGAATGATTTTGGAGGGAGAATTAGGTGCAAAACTTTGAATTCACTGTACATTTTCTCGAATTCAAAATTATGCATGAAGGGTTAAATTATATAGCTACATCTCCAGTAATATTTGATCAAATATCCTGCCACGTTGATAAGAAACCACACGATATCTGTTGCCATTATCACCTTTCTGCAGTCCTGAGTGGATATATAATAACTTTTCTTAAGCTACTTGCTAAACCAAGGCCCAGCTTCTTCACCACTTAGTGAAAATAAGTTTTGATGGACTGGAGAAAATCTACAATGAATTCAAACTTGTTCACCTCAACATTGTTTTCAAAAATCAACTTTCGCCAAGAACGATTCAAATGAGAAGCTGAGGAGGTGAACTAGTAGGTAGGAATGTAGTTGTTTAAATTGTGCGTCTGCAGCTCATCGCTTGCACAAATAACTGTGATAAAACCACTTTATCTGATTTATTATTGCTTTTAATGAACTCCTGAATTATAACATTAGTATAAACGCAATCAAATGATCAATCTATCAATACAACACAATGTATAACTCCTGAGTCGTAACACTAAATCTCACTGCCATTAAGGTGCTGCACTGATGGATCTACTGCTTTACTTTGTCCTTTCTTGTGGCCAACCCCACATGTGTGATGGCATGAACTAAAACAGAAAGCTTTCCCTCAGCTCTAGAAACATGAAAAGTTTCACAAATGCACTTAATTTAAGTTGATCCGTGTGGGGATAAGCCGATGCTTTTGGAGCTATGGTGGTGCGCCACTTACTGTGACGACTTTATGACCACTGCAGCTCAGTTTTAAGGAAAGGCAAATCGTAAACTGGTAATGTGTCTTCTCTAACTCCCCTCCAGGTCTTCAATAGAGTAACCTTGTTCTTTAGTGGCCGTGCAGTACGACTAACATCATTTAACATAGCAGCCAATAAATGCTCTGAACATAATTGGATGAATGGGCCTTTTGAGTGGCCTGAATAATGAATGTCCTTGTGCACTTGTTTTGAACATACCCAGAACTACAAGCCCCTAAATATTTCAGCCACTTAATGGCATTGTGTTGAAGAATGGCCGCCGTAATTACATGCGGAGTACAAAACATCGCTGAAGCTACCTGAAAACATGAGGCAGAACGAGGGGAAAGCTATTTTCCCCCCTCTATTATCCTGCAAATTCATTTAAATAATACAGAAAGGTTAAAGTTTTAGGAGGCAAAAGGGAATGCGGTTCATTATTTAGCAATTTGCCAGATGTATCTTATATTTACTGTGAATCACTTGATGGTTTCTGTACTGTGTATTCTTGAAAAACTATGTTTTTGTTAGTTTGTTTTTTTTTTACTTCAGAATCACACTTTTTGGGACAAAAGAAACTGATCGATTTCTGCAATGTTTCTACACAATTCGCTGCACAGGCATTGTGCAGGTGCTGGAATGCGGCTCGTATCAAAAACAGTTGCAGTAAAGAGGTACAGCTAATTGAGAAAGCAGTTTCTAACTAACAACTGAAATAACAAAAGTGATTATTAGTTTTTTCTTGTTTATGACTGAAATGTGTCTTTGCAAATGTCATTTTTATACTTTTTGTATCGTAGGTGTACAGATACATAAATCTTGCATTAGTAGTTTGTAGTTTTCATGCGATATAAAGTTAGATTTAGGTCATAGCTATCGTTTCTCAGAAAGTGCAATTGCTTCTCGCTGTTGTCTTGGAAGCTGTAACTTGGTTGTTTGTTTAAAAAAATAAAAAATTACTGCTGATCTGCAATAAAACGACCTACATTCCACCCCAGTGAGCCTGCTTTTTTTTTCCCCCCCCCCCTTTTTTTTTTACTGAGCTCTGGAAGTATTACAGAATATTTTTTTTCATGCTAAAAGTTTACCAGAGGGTGGCAATAAAAGTCAAAGCACAGCTTTTATTGCACCCCAGTACACACGCCATAGAAATGCTACATGCACTGGCGCATTTGCTCAATGCAGCAAATGCTGAAGAGGCTTTTCTGGCCGTGAGCCCAGAAATGGCCTGTTGTGAAGATTAAAGCTGGTGGAATCTCAGACAAATAATGCTGTCACAATAATAAAACGCCGTTCACACTGCATTTACTAAGGGGGAAAAAAGAAGTAGAATAATGTTAGCACACTGGTGTTGCATACTGGTTTATACGATTCCTGCACTTTATAGTGCTTTGCAAAAGAATTTATACCCTTGTACTTTTACACATTCTATTGCTTTATAACCATTTACTCTGTTATTTTATTGGGTTTGTGTGTGATGGACCAACACAAAGCAGTGCGTAATTGTCGAGTGGAAGCCAAATGGGACGGCTGATAAAAAGATTTGGGCGGCGTGATGTTTCGATCCAGCCTGCGATTCCTCCAAACAGATAAAGGCTTGTGGTTGTAACTTGTCAAAGATGTGTGCGTGCAAGAAACCGATGAAACGTGCGCTGATAGTAAAATATTTTAATTAAATATACAGGAGGTCATATCATACAAAATGTCTTTATTTTTTGTTTTGCTGCCAGCTGGATGATTGGTAAGCAGATGGCTATGGTATCAAAAAACAGTTTCAGGATGCACAACATAAAAAAATAACAAAAACAAACAATAAGAATAAAAAAACAAAACAAGAAGCGTATCCTAAATCTTAATTTGTAGTGTTGTTTGAGCCTAACATAAAACAGCAAAAAAAAAGGACACATCTAGTTTGTGTAACCAACTTTTATACTGTTCTTTTTTTCTTTTCTGTCTTTTTTTTTCATTTTTTACTATTTACAGATTATAACAGTTTATATGAGAACAACCACGCAGTGCTATCTACAGTGCTATTTACACAGACATTAAGACAAAAATAAAAAGAGAGTTTGCTGTGAGTAGTTCCCTCTGTGTCAATGTTCTGTACAGGAGCCAGCTTACCTACACAGCAATGTACAGTACTAGAATCAGTAATGAATGTCTTTAAGTGTTCAGCAAAATCGTACGTGTTTACAGCTTTTGAAAAAAAAAAAATAATAAAAAAAAAAAAGATTCCTCGCTTTAAACAGCAAAAGAAATGTTCTGTGTGTATTTCAGCTATTCTGGATTGCAATTCTAGTGGTTGTAAAAAGCCAGCGCAGGGCTCGTCTTTGCACCCCGGGGCTTATGGAGCGCGGTAGGAACCCTTTGTGGAGTTTGGGGCCTTTTTCATCGCGGCCGGAGAACACGGCCTGCAGATGACAGACACCGTTTCCCGGAACTGGCTGCTGTCGAAAGAGCAAAGCATCGAAACTAAAAACTGACCTACGGTTTGCCCTTTGAAGTCCTACCTTTTAAGTGTGGTGTCTCGAAGTGTGCCAAGTTGTTTGGTGATGTCTGGATACTGCATTTAGACACCAGAGTGACAGTAAAAATTTGACATTCCTACCCTGCTACAGGAGATATACCTTAATAAGCGTAGTGCTAACTCTAATCCAAGACTGTGAAAGGCACAGATATTTGCAAAAGCAGTAATATCCTAAGTGACAACATTCCTATCAAATCATATATGAAAAGAGTCTGTTTGTCAAGAAAGTGAAGCGCTTCAAGTCAGGAACGCACACATGAAATGCAGATTTTGTTTTCCTTCCTTCCTTGTGGAGCGTTCCGCAGCGGACGGCTGCGTCATGACGCTCTTCCCGCGGCATGTCACGACAACGTCCCGAGGTCAAACTCCTTTCACCGCAGGAGGCGGAAGTCGCACGGGCCGCAACGTCCACGATTCGCGAAACTGAATGCGGACGCGTCACAGGGAGATGCGCTTCAAAACGACACGAGACGGACCTGAATTTTGTAAAAGAGCGACTCTACAGCACATCTGCTCCACGCAGCACCTCTGGACGTGGTCGTGATGAAACTGTTCGTGTTAAGCGGCGCCACAGCGGGTGTTAACGTTTATCCCGATCGGTCCACTCCAGATGGATTCACTGTGGCACAAACAAGGAACAGAGTTCAGCGTGGAGACATGTAAACAGACACAACAGCACCGGCTGCCTGGAGACAAATAACAAATGATTCAGCTGTTTTATTTTGGTAGCAATTAGGCATGGGCTGGTTACTGGTTTTCAAAAGTTGCCTTTTCAAAATAGCGAACCGTTTTTTGTCATCCTGCTTCTGAAGTCAAGAATCTTTTCAATGAGAGGCTGAAGTGACCAGTCTTTGCTCAACGTTTTGTGGCTTACAGCCCCGGAATGAAAAAACTGAGAGCGCTCCTCGAAACAGCGTTTCTGCATGTATCACAGTTAATAAAATACAGTAATGTGAAAGGCTGCAGAGAATATGTCAAGGCATATGAAAGCTGTGGCTGAAAATATAGCAAAATTAGGCGGCCTCTCAGTCTGTTTCTGGGCCTGTACATCAACACAGATCTGTCCCTCCCCCACCTAATGCTGTGCACTATCAGGTAGCTGGTCGACAGAAGGCAGCTACACTTAACCCTCAGTTAAAAGTAAGACAAATTTTGGTGTTTGAAAATACTTCCCGTCATGAAAAACACTCAACACTTTCAAAAACATAGTTCACAAGCTGCATTTCTGTGAAGACATTGACTGCAAACTCTATCAGAGCAGATAGCCTGACTAATTAATCGGTATTATGCACAGTAAGCTCTTAAAAACTTAAGTTTTTGTTTTGTATTCGTATTAATCTGGTATTAAAATCAAGACGATAAATGAATGGTTCGGGTACGGGGAAGCGTGAGTCAGTTGTGCTAGTTAATGCTAGTCGAATAATGCTTTTTAACACTCGTGGGGCACGTCGTGCTAAAGGGTGCAGGGAGAGAACAGCTTACCGGACTCTAGCCTCTAGAATGAGGTTTGTCGTTTCTGAATAGAAATGGCTTTAAAGGGATCTCTGGGTATTGTAGTGTCGGCCACCAATCAGACACTGTCGTCGTGGGATGTTGGATGGACACGAACAGAGGCGTACTTTTTGGGAACGAGTTTGAAGGCCCTGGCTTGATTATAACTGTAACAATGAACCATAAAGTTGTTGTTTTTTTTGCAGCAGTTGGAAAAATGCGATGCGGTTCTGATCTAAACGGGATAAGTTAGATAATGGTGCGTATTTGTTTTGCTTCATTTTTGCGTGAATACTGTGAAACTGTGGTTCTAACCGTTCTCTACGGATCTCATACCGACCCATGCCTGTTTGCAAAAACATACACACTGAGGTTAAGAGTTTGTATTTCATTGTCATGTTACTTTTAGTGTTTTTAGGCAACTGCGTTTAGCCCTCAGACACAGTAAACAAATGGCTTTTCTCTACTTCCCTCAACTTCTCACGTTCCAGAGCAACAAACCTGACTCGTGGGTCACTGAAAGCGACAAGCTGATTTGTGAGCATAATACACACGAGCATTGTGCAAATAGGGTTACAAAAGCAACAACAAGATACAGTAAGAGGTGATAAAAAATAAAGAACAGTGCAAGATATATAAACGAAGGCATACACAGTTAGAAAAAAAAAATGTAATTTGCGGTCCGAGTGATGGATTTAGCAGTTTGTCGTCGGCAAAACTTAGTTTTGCCTCGACTCGAGCCACGATGTGAATGAAAATAAGCCGACACAGTTTCAACAATAAGAAGAAAAAAGAAAAGTGTTTTCTCTCCCTCAAAGTCTGGTGCTGGGGTGTACCGACGACAGCTGAGGTGGGGGGAGCGTCGAGAGAGGGTAGAGGTGGTGCAACAGCTCTCCGTACAGTGCCGCCCCGCCCGGGTACCTGTAGAGGTGGTGGGGGCTGGGGCTGGAGGCTAGCAGCTGCCTGTGGAGCATCATGGAGTGGATGGTGAAGGGGGGCATTAGCGGGGACACGGCCGACTGGCTTTTCAGGTACTGCAGGCCCGGGTGCTGCTGGAGCCCGTCCTGGGCGCCTGGTGACACCAGCGTGCCGTGGGGGTAGATGCCAGCATAGAGGGGCGCGGTGTGGGGCGGGGGGTAGGTGGTCGCAGAGTGGCCCTCGGGGAGATGATTGTTGAGATGAATGGCGTGGGCTGGCTCTGCGGGTTTCAGCTCCTCAGGGTCGCTCCGTCGGACTGTGCTGGCCGGGTGAATAGGGGTCACCACTCGCACCTTCCTCTCCGGGGCGTCTTCGCTGTCCGCCTCCACCAGGCTCCGCTTACTGGGCCGAATGGGACTGTTGAGGGACAGTTCGCCTGAGGCTTTGGGGCTGGGAAACGACTGAGAAGTATCTGGTGAGCTTTGTTTGGGGGTAGAGATTGTCATAGGCGAGACTCTGCACGCCTTAGGATGGGAATCCAAACCGTGGTGCATGATGGGATAGGAGAGACTACAGAAAGAGGGTTTGGAAAAGGAGGAAACCCTTTGAGATAGAGGTTTAGAAATAGAAAAGTCTCTGGGCTCATCTTCAGCCTCTCCGTTCTCTCCTTGCGTCTGAGTCCTGTCACCGTAGTGAGATCTGTACACCAACCCTTCCTGCTCCAGACCGGCACAGACAAAGCTTTGGCCGCCCTCGCGCTCCCTGCTGTAGTGCTCTCTCCGCTCTCCGCCAGGAAAGCCAGCCATTCTCTCTTGGCTCAGGCAGCTCTCAGTCTGTCTGTACAAGCTGTGAAGGTGAGGGGATGAGTAGCAGTCCCCCGTATAGCTCCTGCACTGGGTGACTGGACCTTGGAGGATTTTCTCCCCGGCGGTCTCCGCACAGTCCTGGGTTTGGGTTCTGGTAAGGTACGGCTGCCAGGGCACGCTCGCCTGCGGCTGAATCTGATGGCCCATCCTGCTGTAAGAGTCCGACAGCTCCGCCGCAGCGATCCTCTCC